CCTTGTTTTGCCTTGTCCACAGCACAGGTGTCCTTGAATGAATGCATCCTGCAAGGTTCCACGAGAGCTTTTGTGTTTGCTCTTGTTACTGGGACATACTCTCTTCTCAGACATCTGGCATGCCTGTTTCCTCAAGTCCTCAAGCCTCTCTGAAAGGCCACTTTCCCTGGCCTCCCTATCCACATTGTCCCATCACTCTCCCTGTCCTCATTGTGGCTTTCCCATGGTGTGTCACCCTGCGTTTTACTGGCTGTGTTTTTTTCCTCTGCCTAGAATGTAAGCTTCATCCTAATTTTAAATTCCTCAGTTCTATACCCCAAGTGCCAGGATGATGCCTTGTTTATACGAGACGCCAAGAAATGAGTGAAAAAGACAAGCAAGTGAGCTATGTGGTAGTAAATGCCTGTAACCCAGAGGCCGAGGCAGAAAGATTGCAGCGAGTTTAAGGCCGGATTGGATCACACAATGAAGCATTTTCACAAACAAACAAAAAAGCCAACCAAAGAGAACCAAAACAACCCTACACCTCAACTCCCCCCCCACCCCCATACACACAAAGAAACAAACAGGAACAACAATGACAATAACCCCAGTTGGGTAGGGTAGTACAACTCCCCTAATCACATCCTAGCACTCACAGGGGAGTAGAGGCACAGAGAGAAGCCAGGCAGGAAAGGAGGGCCTGCTGAGGCAGCCTGCAGGGGGTTGGGGGTGGGGGAAACGACGACTACGAAAGCAAGGGAACATGAAAGAAACAGCGTTAACCGAAGGAGCTCAGTAAATATTTACTAAGATGAATTAAAAGTGTCAGAAACCCGGCACAGCTTTCCCAGGTCTAAGAATAAGGCAGTTGAGGGATTGGTGACGTTGAGTGAAAGCTGTCCTGTCGTAGACGTCTGCGGTGGGGGGACAGCAGCGGGGCTGTTTTTTCAGACACAGTTGAGGCTCATAATTGCCCCTCGAGGATCGCACCTGGGAGCCGGGAGCTGCTTGCCCAACCACCCTTTTGGGACAAGAACCTTCCATACAGGTGTTTTAAATCGTTTTGGTCTTAGCCTCTTTGGTTAAACTCATGTAAGTCAGAACCGGGGGTGGAGGGAGGTGGGGGTGGGTGAGTGACACTTCTCAGCGCTAAGAAAGCACCCAGAGTGGAAAAGATGACCAAGCTTCACGAAGGACTAAGGGGTCTTCGAAGCCAGCCCCACTTTAGAGCAATGTGCCGTGGAACTTTATTCTACCCGTGTGAAAAATTTCCCCCGGTTCACTGTCCCGCAGGTCCCTAACTTTCTACAAGGGACTGCCCTCTGCTCTCCGCCTCTCCCTTCACGACTCCATAGTTTTGTTTTGTTTTTTTTTTCACGCTTCGCCGCTACTACAGCGGACTCCTGCCTTCTCAGTATTTGCCTTACGATCTTGGGTGCCTTGATTGTAAACAATACACTTTAGATCCGTAGTGAGGTCGGCTAAGCTCAGCCTTTCTGCTGGCAGCCAGACTTCTTAAGGTGGAGTGGCCCGGACTGCTTTTTACGTAAGGTTAACACATCCACAAAATGGTGCTCCTACTGAATGTTGAAAGATTCCTGCCATGCAGGGACAGAAGTATTAAGTTTCTGCTTTCATAGGGATATTACTGTCACGAACTAAAAAAAAAACTCTTCTGTAGTGAGTTGTAATTTCTCCATTTTACATAAGAGCTGTAGTTCACACACACAGTGACAGAGAGGAAGGAGCTCCCTGCAGTCTAGTAATATTTTATTCTGGTTTAAGTTTGAGGTACAGTTTCACACAGCTCAGGATGGCCTTGAACTCTGTGTGGCTGAAGATGACTTTGAACTCCTGGTCTTTTTACCTTTACCTCCACAGTGCTGGGATCTCTAGCAATTTAAAATTTTTATGGTATTGGCGTCAAGGATGGGCATATGTTGCAGACATAAGGACTACCCCAATTTTACTGTGCCTTCTCCCACAGTTCAGTATATTCAGTAGGAATGTTAAATGTGGGTGTGGGGGGTGGCAACTGGGGGACTAGTGGGATGGTTCAGTGGGTAAGTCACCTGCCACAAAAATTTGACAACCTGAATGTGATCTGCAGAACCCTGGGAAAGGTAGGCATAGGTAGGGAACTGACCCCACAAAGTTGTCTTCTGACAAGCATTAACATGTGCACATTGCACACAACATATGCAGTAATAATTAAAAATGTTCAATTATTTGATGTGTGTGTGTGTGTGTGTGTGTGTGTGAGTGTGTGTGTGTGTGTGTGTACGTCAGAGGTCATACACCTTGCAGGAGTCAACTCGATATCCACCACATGGGTTCAGAAAACTGAACTTAGCTTGTCAGGTATTTCGGCAAGTTCCTTTACCTGCTGATGAGCCATCTCTCTGCCCAAATCTAAAATAGAAAACAAAAACCCAACCTAGGCACAGTGCAGTGGGCCTGTAGGCCCAGCTACTGGGTTTTTGCTTTTTGACATAGTGTCTCAGGTATCACATTCTAACCCTCAACTCAACTATGTGGTCAAGAATGACCTTAAATTCCTGGTCCTCTTGACTCGATGAGGCATCATGGCAGCTGGCCCAGCAACCCTAGCTACTGGGGAAGTTGAAGCAGAGTCCATCGGTTCAAGGCCAGTCTGATCAGGTGCAAAACCACCTGAAATAAAACACCACAGAAGATGCAACTTCCCACCTTGATCCAACGGAAGTCTTCCATGTCCGTTAATTCAGAAGGCCAGGCTTTGATGTTCACCCTGGATGCTGCCCTGTTCACTATTCTCTGGGTATCACCCATCTTTTTGGACTCTGTATTTCAGTTGAACTGCTAGATGGTAATGCCAAAGGCCAGTGACAGCCGCACTAAATAACAGTGATATCAAGGAAACATCTGCAGGCAGCCCAGGCCTAGAAAGGGCCATTTTGGATTCTTGTAAGAGAGGAGGGCTTGCAGATTGCAGTCCATGCAAATTCAGACAAAACCCGGAACACTGCGACCACCAGGAAGGAAAGGACAGAAAATGAACTAGCCTGAGAATAAGGAGACCTGCATCTAGTCCTGGCTTTGCCACCAACTCAATGGAAGTCCCCAGACAGGAAACCTGAGTCTCAATTTCCTCATTGGTTAAAAAAAAAGAGGCTAAAACCACAGGGTCGCTAAGGGCCTTCTGGACTATTACATTTTGAATTTAGGACACACAGACACACACAGTGGGGGTGGGGGCAGAGAGAGAGAGACTGGCAGACAAGATGTGGCTAAGAAAACAAGCCAACATTCAATCTCACCTATAGCATAGAAAACTATGCAGCTGTGTGATACTAAAACAAATTTAATTTCCAATAAAATGTATTGTGTTCAGCACAAACCAAGACTATCTTGGGAATACCAATGGGTAAAGCTTAAACTTAAGGTCCCACTGAACTCTGTTTGAGCTATGTATGACAGGCCTGCATATTCTGTTTTAACTTCCATGGCTGTGCTCAACAGTGAGAGAGAAATGTGAAGTTGCCACGAGGAGCAAAGAAATGTCCCAACAATATTACTAGAGTTAGTAATACGGTAATGGTGGTATTACAAATCACTTGCTAATGGACAATCGGATCCTTAAGGGAAGTATTTTCACCCTTTAACAGCCTGCAATTCTCTCTAAAAGCATCTGCTTGCATTTGAATATTGCTCTGAGTGGACTGGTAGCCACAGGCTGGTGGGAGAGAAGAGGGGAGGAAGGAAGGAGCTGTTGTAGTTGGCGTCTGGACTCAGGTGGAGGAAACGGCTTCAGCCCGGGAAAGAATTGAAAAGTAGAGAGGCGAGTTCCCACACGCAGCCTATGGCGATGGCCTTCGCTGTGCTTGGGGAAACAAGAAAATCAGATCCGGGGGTGTAACTTGGCTTTCTCAGAAATTAGAGTCTGGGATGGCTACAAATCAGATGAAGAGGTTTGAGAGAGCACCGGGGGTTTTCAATCTCGAGATCCCTATGGAGGGTCTGCTTGGATTCAGAAACCTTCTGATAACTCAGGAGCCATCATCAGTCCTGGCTCCTTCCTGAAGCCCCTGGCTTGTCCTAGCAAAGCAGAGACTTCTGGGGTCAGACTACGCGGCCGATTCCTGCACCCCAGCGAAGGCACCCTGCCAAGGGGGGCGGGGGTGGCCCCAGGCGCTGAGCCAAAGTTTCTCCGGTCTCCCGCACACCCTCCCGCATTCCCACCTCGGCGAATGCAGGCGGATTGAACTAGCCACCGAGGTCCCTAAAAAGCCCCAGGGACCTTGGAGCCCACTGGCCCAGGCCCTGGGTTTCGTGGGCGAAGACCTGGAGGTAGCAGTCGGGAGCGGTGGCGCGCCTGCCAGCA